TTAATTGTTCACTTCAATCAGTGTCTTAGTAACAATCATCATTTAATGCATATCCGTTTCTTTACTATCAGCAAGAAGAAAAACGAGAGCAATCAGAAAAAAAAGGAAATAATAAAAATAAAAAGCACTCTAATTTATATATATATATATAAATATATGAGCAAATCTATACATCTAAGCAAATAATAATGGACGAATCAGTAAATAAAACAAGATTAAAATTTAACATGTGTACTTATCGTCGTTTAAGTATTGAACATAAATTCAATGAAAATCTACATCAAAAAACTTATTTATCAAATTTACATTCTTATAAATATCGTGAAGATTTATTAAATAAAAAACTTGATTATCTACGAAAAAATCTTGAACATATTGAACCATCTGTTCATGATGATGACGATGATAATAATGATAATAATAATAATAATGAACAAGCATTAATGGCACCAAATTGTATTTCACGTATACAAAATCATTTTCGTTTATTAAATTTTTCATCCGAATCAGAAAAACGTTTATTATGTCAAGCATCATCATCATCAGCTAATAAATCAACTAAACAAATATCAAATCAACTTCCAATGATTTCACAAAAACAAAATTCAAATGAAATCAATCAATCTATACGACGTTCATCAATTAATAATTCATGTCGTTCAGCAAGAAATCATCATGATTCAAATGATGATTTACTTCAACAAAAAACATTTCAATCATATGTTAATCAACAAAAAATCGATGAACAAAATAAACAAATGAAAAATAATGAACGAAAAACATCTCTTCTTAAAGAATTTGATGAACTTAAACATACCATTGATGATCCAAATTCGACTTTATCTGTACTTGCTGCACTCTCTCGTGCAATATTCTTTTTAGATTCTGGAAGAAAATAAAATTTTTTCTTTTTTTTTTTTTCACAAAACACAATTGTATATTTTGATATAAGATCTTATTTAATCAAAATAATAAGCAAAACAAAAAAAAAATTATGTGTTAGTTTCATTTTTTTTTCTTATTTGATGTTTTTTTTTCTGTTCATATGATGGAAATAAAAACAGATATAAATATATATATTTTTATTTTTAAGCCACAGATTGTGCATTAGCAGCGATACGTGGCCATAAATCAGCGCATTCTTTTGCTACGGGTCCTGTTATAGCTGAACCTTTCAATTCGCCTTTGTTATTAACAATAACACCAGCATTATCTTCAAAATAGATAAATGTACCATCTTTTCGGCGAAATGGTTTACGTTGTCGAATGATCACAGCTGGCATAACTTTTTTACGTAAATCAGGTTTACCTTTCTTAATCGTTGCTAAATAAAAAGAAAAAAAATTTTCTAAAAATTGAAAAACAAAAAACAAAAACATACAGATGATCATGTCACCGACACAAGCAGCTGGTAATCGATTAAGTCGTGCACCGAAACCTTTTACCGAAATAACAAATAAATTTTTGGCACCTGTATTATCGGCACAATTGATAACGGCACCGACTGGTAAACCAAGTGATATACGAAATTTACCACCACCAACACCACCACGACCTCTTTTCGCTGACATGATTATTTATTAATATAAATCTAGAAATATGAACATTTATATATAAAAAACGAAAAAAAAAACCAAGTCCAGACTTAAAATGCTTTTTTTATATATATATTTTTTTTTTCGATATAGACGCAGAAAAAAAAGGAGAAATATAGTAGTAGAGACGACTAACAAGCAAAACAAAACAAAAAAATATAGAGAGAAAACAGAGACCATTTGTTTTTTTTTTTGTTCGTAAAGACAAAAAATGTACATGTTTTTTTTTTTTTACAACGACATAAAGAATAATAGAATTTCATAATAACAATGATTGTAACGAGCATCATTAATTGTTGATTTACGTAAGGCTCGATTGAAAAGAAGAAAAAAAAAGAAACAGCACACAGTAAATAAACAAGTTGAAAGATTAGCTAATGATGAAAAAACAAAAACAGAAACAAACAAAAAAAACTTTGAAATAGAGAATATCACACACAGATTTTTTTTTCTCTATAATCAAATGTTCATATCTTTATAGATGACAAGATTAAAGTTAAGTTGTGCTGTTGAAACAAATTCAGAAAACTATAAAACGAAGAAGAAGAAGAAGAAATGACCGTAGTTACAAGAAAAAAAAACAGCCAGATTAGTCGAGCACAAAAGACATCAGAGAAAAATACGAGAAACAAACAAGAAAAAAAAGAGATTCACACGCGTGCTGTCGTTGGTGCAGAAATTGTCGTAGTAGTATTAATTGTTGTTGTCGTCGTTGTTGTTGTTGTTGCGGTTGTTGTTGCTGCCGCTGTTGTTGTCGGATTTGTATTAGGATTATTTAAACTTGGATTTTTTAAAATACGTTTCGCTCGATAATCATATACATAACGACAAAAGAATATATTTTGATTATCAACACTTTTTGATGGTAATAATCGATGATGAATAGTGACAGTATTTCTGTTTAACAGTGATTTTAACTGTCCAACTGATTCAGGATGTTCAAAAAGATCCGATGTTTTTTCACGAATATAATAACTATTAAGAAAAAAAATTCTATTTGTACTAAAAATTAAAGTAAAGAAAAGTTTTTTTTTCCCAAACACAATCATAGTTTTTACTATTGAACATTGTCAAGGTTTTAGTACTTTCTACTTCAATTATATATTCGACCTATTTATGAATATAATTTTACTAATATCCATACTTCTAGTATCATGCACGGGAGTACGACTTTTCGCAACCAGATCAGAGTTAATTGACATGTGACAGATACTTTCACAGTACGATTTTCAAACTTTTATTTTACATGAAAAAGTATACGATTTAGTTTCTTCAATAAACAGCAGCAAAAAAAAGAAAGAGATCATCTCAAAGTCTACAAAAAAGCAAATGATCCAGAAGTAGAATCCGTCGAGTTGGTCAAGAATTTAATCGATGAATTTTTTTAAGTAAAACCATACTGCTTTGTACTTCTCTGATCTGTTATCAAGTGCAATAATTTGCTCCGCTTTTTACTCCTATGCTTTTATATAAATTAGTAGTTTGAAAAAGTAAGAAATTTTTGTCATGCCCAGCAAGTTTGCACCCGAACTCATGCTCCGAGCCGAGCCAGATGCAGAACACTACATACATATTCGTATAAGGGAAACAATAAAATGTCTACTCATTCAGTCCGTGAAAAATCTCTTTAAGATCTTTCAATTGAAATCTCAGAACATGAAAAATTAATTTCATATTTACCGATTATATTCATTAACATTGAGTACATAACATTTATCTTCAATACAAGCAACATTAACACAATCCCAATATTTTGATGCTAAGACTTCATTTGGTAAAAAATGTTCTTTAACACGTAGTGGTAATTCACTATGTTTAGGATGATAATACCAAATAAGTGACATTTGAATTTCACCTTGAAAAAAAAATTTATATATATATATGTATTTTTCTTTGTTTGAATAAAAATAAAAATTATTTTTTTTCTTACCTGATTCTGGTTCTTTCCAAAACCATTTTACTCTAGCTAAATATGGTGTCATACCATTTTGTTCAGCATTCTCAGGACGTAATAAAACACAATCATCTGATTTAATTATATCTTTTTCTTTAACATGTCGAATTGATGCATAACATTCGCGATAAACCGGCGGTTTGTCAGTCTTAAAAAAGAAATTAAATATACAATTTTCTTTTTTTCTAACAAGAAAAGGTACCCAAATGTAACTCATTAATCGAACTGATATGTTACTTATAAGTAGGCTTTGACAAAATTATCAAGACATGTTTGAAAAAATCGAATTACAGAATTTCAATCTGAAGTTTCATTCATAGAGGTTAGGAATGCTCTAAAACTGTTAGCATAAAATGATATTTTCTTCTTGAAATATTGAATATCTAAAAACAATCATGTGTCAAAAGGAAAAAATAAGAAAATCTAGTATTTTCAATATTTTAAGAAGAATATATCTCTTAGAATTGGATGTTTCTGAGCATTCTCTAATGTCTACAAAGCTTACTAATGGGTAAAATTTCAAGTTGAAATTTCATAATTCAATTTTTTCACAAATCCTTTGCCAAAAGAAAATTGTATTTACTTGAGAAGGACAATGCTTTGGGACAAACATTTATAGGTTTCTACTAGTTTCATCGGAACCTACTTATGACGAAAATATCTATTCAATTGATGGGTCACACTTGGAAATCTTAAGTCATGAGAAAAGAAGAAAATAACTTACATCAATTGAAACTAATTTCTGTTCAGATTTTCCAAATAAAGCCCAATAATGAGAAATTTTTTGTTTTTTTCTTTGATTAGGATTTTTATTTGATCCAATTAATGTAACTGAATGTGGTGATTGTGATCGTTTTGTATTTGTTATATGTGTCGATGATTTTGATCGTATTGAGATTGCTGATGATGAATTTGTACGTGCTGCACGAGAATTTTTATCATTTATTGATATATATGTTGTTGCACTAGCAGTTGCTGCTGATACACTACGACGTTTATGAATACGTTGAGAAAATTTATGATCACTATCACTACTAATAGATAATTCACCATTTGAACTAAGAATATTTGATACAGGTGAAATAATCGTTCCGAATGCTCCTGTTGAATTTATTAAACGTTGTCGTTGATAAGATGGACTTGTACTTAAATTGATACCGGAAATTTTCGTAGGTGATGTAATGATTGAATTAATTGTATATAGTGTTCGATCACCAATTGATGGTGTCGGTGAACTGTAAAAAAATGCAAAAAAGATTTCTTATACATATAATTTAGAGGATAATTAAATTTTTATTTTTACCTAGTTGATTTTGATCCAGAATTAACACGTCCTTTAGCTGGAGATAGTTTTTTTGGTGTCGTCTTTTTTATTATATCATCATGTTCATTTATATTAGATTTTTGATATGTTGATGATAAATGTTTAATAGAAAAATTTAATGCTTCATTTTCTGTTGTTGGTGATAATAGTATATCAGTTAATGATATTTGTTGATGTTCTTTTTTAACAACATTATTTACACTTAATGGTAAAATTGTTTTTGTTTCAACAAGTTGTTCTTTATTAACTAGAACACAAGATTTTTGTGGAGATAATGGTACTGTTGTTGTTTTAGTTGGATTAGGTGATTTAAGTAAAGATGATGTATTTGATGATATAGGTGGATTTGGATTATGTATATGATGATGATGATGTGTATGTAAATGAAATGTTAATGCTTCTTTTTTTGGTGATAATGATTGTTTTTGTTGTTCATCAAATGCTGGTATAATAGATTGTTGTTTTGTATTATTATTTAAATTATTTATTGTTGTTGTTGTTAATGTTGAAGATTTTTTTTGTTTAGTTTCTAAATGTGTTGTTGTACGATGACGTGTTATAGATGTTTTATGATGAACAATAGGTGATGGTGGAGGTGGAAGTGTTGATGATGGTGGTATAAGACAATTTGCTTGTTGACTAAGTAATGATGCTGATGGTGGAAATGTCCAAGCTGGATAAAAAAAAAAGCAAACAAACAAGAAATATTAAATATTCATCATGTGAAGTAAATAAAAGAAAGGAATTAAATCGTCAAATGATCGCTTAAAATAATATGCTGATAGTTCGATAATCAATTAGTGAGGAATAGAAAAAAAATAGAAAGAAAGCATTTTTGAAAAGGGAAAAAAAAGAAAGCGTATAAAACAAAAGGAATGTATGTGAATTTTATTAGAAATCTACATACCAGTAGCTGCTGTCAATCAAAGAATAAATATTTTTTATTTCTATCTACAATAATCGAATAATATGGCATTGGAAAGGGGAGGAGACATGCATAATTGAATATTAGAATGAAAATCTGAT